TCGTTCTTTGTATGAGTTTGATTTTTTCAGTGTTGCTTTATAAGATAATGATCTTCTAAACTAGGTCTTGGAATTTGCCTCATTGTTCTGGAGATATAATCTGTTGAACTTTAGATGGTGTAGTTTGTGCATCGTTATAGCATAAAAGCATAGACCTTAGAATGAGATCTCATTCTACGGTCTATGACAAAAGGAAGTGTTGAAAGATGACATTTTCCATAGTTGCAATAGTCAAAACTTACCGGTAATTTCCATAAAAAAAACAATAAAACATTTCTGTGTATTTGGCTGTGGAAAAACAGATAATTAATTACAAAATGTATACTATTTTGATAAGACTTTATACATATACAGGTATCTGATCTACAAAGACTTTTATAACGTGAACAATTGGTGGACTATCTCCTAGAAAGTGACATAACCAAAAGTGCATGCTAACTTCAACAAGACGGTGTATAGCACAACTAGATTATTCAAACCCTTTGTTATGTTAAACAGATTGAACAGTATACTAGTAATCAGTTTGGGCCATCATGGCAACATACATTTACTTATGGGATGTACATGCCTTACTCTCTGCCTATGGAGAGTGTATCGTTATCTAATTTGTTAAACCAGGTAACCATGGAAATACAAACCATGTTATAACCATGGAACTAGAAACCCCATAATAGTTCCATGTTATAACCAAGTTAGCGTTAAATGTTTGCCTACCGAAAAAACAAATTGAATCTAGCTTTCATGTGTGGTTGCTGTTTTGTTATGTAATATGTGGAGACTATACTAGCGTATGCTACACTGTATCACAGTCTCTCATTACTGGAAGGGTGTCGTTATACGAATTATGTTTTTGCATACACGTATAGGATGCCACTGTCACGATTTCTTTTTCGCAACATAGAAAAAAATTCAATTATACTTTCTTCGTCCCCATCGCGCTTTGATACGAAATAATATGAGTGTCAACATTGATACAACATATCACGTCAACGTTCGGACCGTGTGGACAAGCTTGTTTGTTATGCAAACACTGCCAGTAAGGTCTTGCATAACACTGTCTATAGTGAATGAACAAACACTGATATTGTAGAAAAGCGTTTCAGTGATGAACCACATGATAAAAAGACACTGAGAAAAGCTGGAAATTTAAATACTGTCAAATATTTTAGCTGGAATTAATTTTCGCTTAAAATACTTTTTGCGTGTTTTGTATGGAATTTATTTTCACTGATTTTTGACAAGTTGAATGTTAAATACAAGAAAAAAGGTATATTTGCTGGATTTCATTTTTACCAAATCATTCCTTCAGCAAAAATAAAGTATTTTTCAGTACTATAGCCAGAATTTTTATTTGTGCTTTGAATAACAGTCAGATTACAAAGGTGGTCAACAAATCAGTATGCAAATTAAATCCTTCTTTTTTCTGTTTCATCACTCAACCTGGTATGTGTAAATGTATGGAGGATGTGTTTACTCAAAGCTGGTTTCATGAAAATAAACCAAAATTACATACCAAAATCACAGCGCACTGTAAATTTCGACCAACGATCTAGAAAAACCGGGTACAATATAATGTTTAATATTCTGAAATTTTTTCGAGTTTTTCCCATCATGCTACCTTAATATTTTTTTAAATCTGTAGGGATATTCACTAGCTTTTAATTCCACTGTTTTTTAAGTAAACAATACATTTTATAATTGTGCAAAAATGTACTGTCAATACTTTATTTTAGCTGGAATTAATTTTCTCTGAATGGACTTTTTGGAAGTTTTATATGGAATTTATTTCCCTAAGAAAAGTTGTTTTGAAAGATCATAAATAACTTTTGTAGTATCAGTAGCAGAAATGAAGCGACTGTGGAACGATTCCTCTGGCTTTTCCTTAGTTGTGTCTTTCATTTCGCGGAGCACTCTGCTCTTTATTGAGTCGAATGAATCAATGGGTTGTCATGTTCACATGTCCAATATTTATGATATAATTTAATTACACTACATTATACATGGGAAAGAGTAGACACCAGTGATATTTTTAGGATTTCACAGAAAAAAAGCTGTTTATTGTGCAGTAAATGCAAATGTAAGGTTAAAGCACCTGGAATAATTAACATAATGTTCAAGTTTAATATATCTTATTTCAGTGTCACACCGTTAATACCTTGAGTTTGATTATGATTTTTCAAATACCCCATGAAAGTCTTCTATGTTCTTCGTGTAATGATGTGTTACCAGTAGAATGCAAAGTATTTTCCATGCTCAATTGATGAATGCAGTCAAATCTTATGAGATTGTTAGGCTACTTGTTCTTTCACTTGTAATTAGTTTCAAGCTATATTAATTTAAATATGGCTGCCCCCATACTTAGTAAGTATTTATTATAACTTGTACACAACCGGACTCTGTCATTTACAAAAGTAAATGCACTACTAATAGAAAAAATTGGGCATTTTGTCAACAGTCAACTCTGTCTTTTATCTGAGAACTGATACTGTAGAATACTTTATTTTCGCTTGGAATTTATTTTCGCTATTTTCTCTGAAGGGATGATTCCGTGAAAATAAAATCCAGCGAATATACTTTTTTTCCCATATTTCACATTAAACTCATCAAAAATCAGTGAAAATAAATTCCATACAAAACGCCCAAAAAGCCTTTTCAGCGAAAATGAATTCTAGCGAAAATAAAGTATTCCACAGTAGTAGAGAAAATACGATATTAAATGCAGAAACAGCAAATTTATAACTGTTTTGTGAGATAAATACTTCTTATACAGCATATTGTACAATCAAAGACTCTTCAACAAACTTAATGTGAAGATGGGCCGCTAGGATTGAAAATAGATTCCATTCATCGCTCACATTGTCCCATGTAATGTGTTTAAGATGCAATCAAACATAAAACCTTTTAAAAAGAGTTATATAATGGAGTGATGTACCCTGCAGGTGTTTATTATTTTTAAGTGGTTCAACCACATGGTTTATTGCACTCTACAGTACATTATGTATACCTCAAAATGTCACTGTAGTGAAATAAGGCTAAGAACCCCACTTGCTTTAATTAACATTGACAATACGAAATGTAAAGTGGCAATTTAGGGTGTCTGAAAATATATAGAAAATAAAATAGGGTTGATAAGGTTACAATTTGAAAACAGAATTCTTCACAAAAATTTAAGATGAAAAAAATCCCTCTACACCCACACACAAAGAGAATAAAATAATTTGCATATATTTAGAATAATTATAATTATACCTATAAAAATGTGGGAAATCATAACATGTTTAAAATTGTCTTATAATTATGTGAATGTGCTCAAAGTCATCAACATTTCAACTATATTTCCTTAGTACAAATAAGATAAGTTTTTAAAATTAATGTGATTTGAGGCATTATTTTATGAAATATTTTTTGTTGAAAAAGAAACAAATAAAATATGATTCAACATGTACTCATTACAATTATTTCTTTTTTTTCTGAATTAGTTAAAAAATCCATTGCCTATGACATTCCTTTGGAGGGAGATACAGGAAGCCTTGTTAAAAGACATCCACCGAAGAAATTCCAGGTAAATCCTTGATACTCTCAATTTTTCAATAAATTATATGAATTTCAGTGTACTAATGATTTGTGCATATGCATCTGGATTTAGAGTAGTATATAGTTATTATCTTATTTAAAGCATTACAGTCATTGCGTGGCACGTGTTTGACTTTCATTTGGTGTATACATCGATATTGGTTCCATATCGAACGTGACGTTTGCAAACGAATCTATCACTTTTAAAGGCAATATAGATAACTTAACTTTTTGAGCACATACATTGTCAACTTTTGGCACAATACATTCTGCTACACCCTCACATGAAATGTTGATAAAAATCAACAACCCTTTTGATTAAAAACTAAACGAAAATGATTATGAAATTTAGTAACATTTTTCAAAAAAATAAAAATATTTGAGTTTCGGACGGGAAATAATATCTGGCGCTCGAATGATTAATATTGATATTTCTACCTACAAATTATACACAGTACTGATATAGCATAAAATCTGAAACTCATTTTGCATTTGATTTAAAAATAAAAAATAAAAGTACCTGTACGTTTATCCATATTGCATAACACATGTACATTAGAATTTTCATAATCGTATCATTAGAGTTTGCTGCTGTAACCTCAGTTCTTAAGAAAATTATCGAAGCATGCTCAAAAACATTCAATGTTTAATATCCATTTTGTTGTTTTAAATATGCAACAGTCATTTCTTAAAACTCTTTAGTGAAATGACCCTAAGTTGAATTTGAAAAATATGAAGAAAAAACACAAAGGCAAGCATGAAGTAATGCCTTAGTTTCTAATGAAAATATTGTGCTTGTTATCTGAAATATTGTAGTTTTTTTAAATATTGATATATTTTAAGAACTTGAGACTACAATATTTTTTTTAGAAACTCATGCCATGAATAATAACTTTATTATTATATAATTTACCGTAGGTTTTGAGACCCAGGGATACCAATTTGACGGTTGATATGATGGCTGACAAGCAGAAAGTCACTGAAATTCGCAGACAGGAGGTAAAACATTTATACATTAAGGCAGGATATGTCCAGCACTTGAAAAGCTTTTTTTTTCTGTAACAGCATTAAGTCATTTTATGACATTTGTATAGAGAGCAATTAGCGAAATTGCTCAGCTTAAGTGGACATAGCATTTATATTGCTGATTTTTTGCGCAAGTTGGGATGCTGATTGAATGACAGTTAATTGTAAATAAAGTGATCACGACTGAAACATTTGTGGCTGTTCGAAGTAGAGAAATATTTTGAAAACTTACTCGTGGGAATAGTCCTTGGAATGATTAGCT